GAAAAAGGCCGAGATTGGACAATCGTGTTTCATAGGGTAGTGAACCCTGTCCACTTACGAGTTTGGTTGCCCGCCTTTGAACTTTCTCAAGGATGCTGAGATCTCTAGAGATCCAGGGTTTCCACGCCTGAATAGGTACATAAAAATTTCTCTAGTGTTCTAGCAGTATCTGCCAAAGGTCAAACAAGCAAGCTTCGTTGATTTTTCTTTGACACTTCATCCTTCATGTCCAAGTATCTGTTTTAGTTGGGGATTGCTCGAGAACAGGGAAGAGGTTTTGTTCAAATCTTGGCAATTTTCGGGACCAGATTTGCAAAATAATTTCGGTCCCCCATCTTTATTGCTTTTTCTCTTACTCCCAGATCATATACTGACCATTTCAAAAAGAGATTTCAACAGGAAGGACACGTCGCACATTCTTAAAAATAACAATTAGAGTCAACAAAACGCCTTCAGGCAACGTGCAAAACCTCTCTACATACGGGAATTAGACCTAAGCGTCGCCGCGGCTTAACCAGTGAGGTTGCTGTTAGAATATCGGCGTACGGTGCACGGGCTGAAATGAATAAAGAAGTAAACGTTAGTCGTAGTAAAAATTACTGCAACTCTTTATATTTCGCTGTCTAGTCACCTCCCGCTAAACAGGTAGGGAGTTTAATAAGCTGGATGGATGTCAAACACGAAGCCTGTAGGAAATGCTTCAGAGTCCTTTAAAACTTTTGAAAATTGAGAAGGACATGAAAGACCTAAAATGGAGATGTATAGGTCGAAAAATCTCCGGCGCCATTTACATTAAGAGAAGATGTTGCTGACATCCGGAATTCCGAAAAAAGATAGAACGTATACACACGGCTTCCTCGGCTGTGTCGACCAATGGGGAATGGAAACAGTGGGTATATGGAGCTTGGTATGAAAAAAACCAATGTTTTTTGCGAGAATAGGGTAACTAGACGGGATCTCTGAGAATAAAAAATGTCCAAGAGCACCGCAAATAGACCCAGAGGGTCAGATAAAGGACCAGGAGCTGGGAACGCCGCAAACGAAAATCATGCTGCCGAAAATTGCGAATGACCACGAGACCACAGCAAGCGCGGAGCCACACGCTAATTCTGCCGAGTGAAACCCTCACAAATCAAAGGATGGCGTTAGCTGGGATATCCGTGAAGCAGTCTTTGACTGTAAGGGTAAACCACAAGGTACCTTGGTTGATCGCAGCAAATGCTTTTGACGCTCCAAAGGACAGAATACAGCATGACATGGAAAAACCCCATCAGTATCTCAAATCGCCCTTAAGAGTAGATATGAAACTCCCCGTGTTGAAGGTTTTCAGGATGGGTCGTATAAAAAATCAAACGACGAGACGTTTGATAGAGACCGCAAAAAATATCTTCCAGCATGAGGAATAAGCGCAGCTACTGTTAAACAGGAAATCCGCACTCCAAAATACCCACTCGACAGTTTTTTTCGACGGGACTTCTCAACTGCGCAGAGAGAGAAATGGAAAGGGTTCAAAGCGGGGATCCTCAGGAGGTTGAGCCTAAGAGAGAACAATCTCGGAACGCTGAACGGGCAAATTATAAGCGCTTGAGGCGATTCCTATGGAGAAAACCTATAACTCTAACATGTTAGGCGGGATGAACAGCAGGTTGTCTCAATCAGCTACGGCCGGCACTTGTATTCAATCCCATGAAATGGACAGATGCCTGTACGCCGGAGTTACACGGTCCAAATTGAGCTTCTTGTGCACTTATGCTCAAAGTCTCGTTTCGAAGATCGACGAAATCAAATCGCTAGTTTCAGAATGAAACCTTGATGTCATTGCGATAACAGAAACATGGCTCAAGGCCGAAATCGTGGACGGTGAGATTTTGATACAGAGTTGCCAGCTTTTTTTCCGGGAACATCAAAATAGATGTGAATGGTTTCTTCCCTAACCATTGGAAAACTTCTGCTATTATTCCAGCATTTAAATCCGGCTGTCGTTCTGCTGCGCAAACTATCAAGGTGTCCATAAAACACCTTACACATAAACTTTGAAGAACTATCGCCATGAAAATTAATGACTTATGCATACCCAGCCAAGTTAAGAGCTCTTTGCCACATGGCCTTTCACTCGATCGATCTTGTGAAGCATGTCATATGTCGTTTCTCAATCTAATTACTTCTGTTCTTAATGATCATCTATGTGTGGTCATTATTTAATCTGATCTTCGTAAAGACGTTGATAAAGTGCCACATAAAAGACACCTAGTTAAAGTAGAAGCTCTGGGAAATCGCAATCCTCTTCTTGACTGAATAAAGTGAAACCTGTCTACTCGTAATCAAAAGATGTAAGTGGGATCTTTATTTTTCAATGAGCGCCCTATTATAAACAGTGTCCTATATATACGGAATTATACTGAAGGTACCGTTTTAGGCACTCTTTTGTTTCTGTTTTACCTAAACGATATCTCGTCGGCAGTTACAAATTCTCAATCCTTTATTAATAAAGGATTGTACTAATGATCTCAAATGTGTATATTCATTCAATAAATCTAGGACCCCTCATTGTCTGGAGCAAGTCCATGCTGACTTGCTTGCCCCATCAGCGTGGAGCTCAAAATGGTTAATGAAATTCTTTTCGTCAAAATGTCGCTATATGTGTCTTCGACCTGAAAGGCTACCCCAACTAGTGGACTTTCAAGAGACACCTATGACTGAATGTACTGCCATCGTGGATATAGGTTTAAGCTATACCAATAACCTTGACCTCTCGCCAAACGCTGGCAGAATTACAGCCAAAGCTGTCCAGATTTTTGGCTTTATTTCCCACAGTTTCCTTATTCCTAAAATTAAATTAAGACTTTACCGGATGCATGTCCTTCCAAATCTTGAGTATTGTTTTCCATTCTTTGGTTTGATGAACGAGGTTAGTCGCTCAAAAATTGAAAATGTTCGAAGAAATTTTACCAGAAGTCTCTTAAGCACGTCGCATCCAAAGATACTTACTCGGATAGATGCCACTTAACTAGCTTAAAATTTCTATGGGTTTCGAGACTAGAAGCAGGCTTAGATCTTCTCTATCGCGTTATTAATAGTCCAAATCTTCCTCAGATTTCAGCCCTTACATCTGCTAGTCGCTCATACAACCTTGTAATTCTTCCTTGATCATATATCCTCCTGCTTTCTCTACCTCTAAGTGCTGCGTCTTTATCCGAAAACTGACTTGACTAAACTTTATTTTCTCATCCTTCCCGGTCAACTTACTCGATGGCATCAAGAAAGTGCCATCGCGAATTTAGGACGCCGCTACCAAACTGCCGTAGCCACTCACATCTCCTTCTAACTGTGTGTGGTTTTGCCTTCTAGGAGTCCTCATCAAAACTTTCGATTTTTTCAATTTTTTAGTTCGTTTTCCGTGCCTCTCACGGAGTGCGATGCCCACCATGACAAATCCTCTCAAAGAAGTAGCGGGCTGGGTTGACGGGCATACTCTAAGCGGCCTCCGCCTCGCTAATCTTCGAACCCTATCAGGAATCCGCATTGGCTTTTGATATTTCGAGTCCTCAACCCCAATCGATGATTTTTGCGACCCTTGATGTAGTTTCCTCACTTTCAACCTCAAGTGGTTTTTTGACGATCACAGCGGAATCCTCTCTTTTCGCTACTCGCTAGTAGTTTGTCGGTCGGCAGAGCGATCTCAGGGTCGCATCTTCCCTCCACGCCCTGCAGGTCGCCTCAACCTTTAATGTCCCCTCCTCGGCTGAACTATAAACGGACTGTGACCGATCGTGTATGGGTCCCTCTTTTCTCGCCACTTCGATGCATATAATCTTGAATGATTTAGGAATTTTGTCTTTGCGATGTCCGCTCCGAACCCCTTATACACTACCATCTGCAAGCCAGCCCTCTCCTACACTCTATTTACCCTCACATGAGCGGCAGTTTTTCTCCTTTAAAGTTGATCAATTCATATTCCTTTTGTTTTTTGAAAAGGAGTATTTTTCACTGGTCATTAACTGTTTTTCCTAAGTATGAAGTGAGCACTGTACAGAGTATGCCTACTCCCTCTAAACTTCACTTGAAAATTTATTTTTACCTGCTGGGATATTATTGTAAGTCGTACTTAAAAATACAATTAACATTTTAAAATTTTTCTAGACAGGGCGATGGGGTAATCGTATTTGTAAGGACAGGAATTTCAGCAGTCAAGAGAGCCCACACACTCTCCTTTGAATGCTAATTCGTCTGGGTCAAGATAAAGAAGAGTAGCACAGAAAACCTAGAATTTCTGGCGGTTTGCAGACCGCCAAACCTCCGAACGCAGTTGAGGATTCGTTCCTCCATGCAGTCAAGGAAGTAGATAAACACCAAGAAGTTCATATTGCTAAGAATTACAACGCATCTGCAATAGAGTAAAAACGTCTGTCAGAGGACGATGCGCCAACTTCCTTCCGTCATAAGCTAGTGGACCTCACATTCGACCTCACACTGGCACACCATGTAAAAACACCTACGAGATTTATAGATGCTCAGCTTAAATTTGCTAGCTGCGCAAACCCACAAAGGAAGGGAAAACACGATTTCTGACTTTGAAGACTCTGTCTTTTTGAAGATCCAGCAGATAGTACCTTGACTCCTGTGTTGTGAAGAATGGTGAACTGGACTCTGGCACATTTTCAGATAGCTTATTGGTCGACACCCGTAAGACGTCGATTAGTTAAAATTATTGCAAACGTATACGGTAGTCGTAAGTTGAATTGCTTCCTAAAAATGTCTGATAAAGACCATTCAAAACTGGAATTTTGACGAAGTTTGTTATACTGAATCGGCGGTACGATTACTGGAGATTGCACATCTTTGAATAATTACTGATTAGTGATCCGGATATTTCCTAATTCCTTTCGACACATCTTCGTACTATTTAAGACAAAAGTCCGCCCTTATTTCTAAAAAATTTACAATTTTACATTTGGAGTCGACTAGACGCACTTATCTTGTGACGCGGTTGCCTTATAAATTTTCCTGATCTTATAATGAAAATTTAGTAATACTGATCCTCCCGCAAAATATCTCTCTACCCTGCGCGGGAGATAGCCTGGTAGGGATTGCTGTGATGGCTGCAGACTGTTTCAAGCACGCCTTTAAATTATATATGCCTTTACAGCTGATATTTGTTCTGCAATCAGTACCTTCCACATGTGGAAGCTAAACAAACCTGTCGGTATGTTACTATACTGTCGGGTTAGTTTAGAGAGGCTTTCATAGATTCTTAGTTCATCAGAACCTCTGTAACTCATCGCAGCTGGATATTAATAATGATATGTAAACATCTGTGTTTAATAGGAAATTTCCTACTAAGCACAAATGTATCCACGACAATTAATTGCCATGTTTTGAATGTCTGGAAATAGTCAAAAATAAAAACAAGTGATATGACAATAAGACCGCGGAAATAAAGAAGTCCGGTTAAGCTATATTTAATGACTATTCATTGGAGACCTTAGCTTCTAAGTACCTGCATAATTATGCAGGTACTATGTTCAGGAAAAGACAAGGGAGACGGTCGCAATTTTAGGCTATCATCAATAAGCTTTCTGTAACCAACAAAATTAAAGATACCAGTTCCTGAAAGCAGGCAACCTTACCAATACAAGGATTGTGGACAGGCTAACACGAGGTAACTGCCTGCCATGAGTCACCCGAAAATGAACTAAAGAGACTGGGGCTTTTATTTTTATGTTCCTGAATAAGTTATTCGCCGTTACTTTTTAGTCACTTCCAGGATTTGCCACTGGAGAAGTATTTATTTAAAATGCTATTTTAATCTTTTCTTTTGATATTTAAAATCTCCATCAACACGACTTTGGTTTGCGATTTTCCGAATCACTACTATTTTCGGCCATTCTATAATTCCCGAACCAACGACTTCTAGGCGCTTCTACTGGTATTACTTTCATCATTAACTGTTTGATTTTTAGTAATTAAACCTCTCGTTTTAAGGTTGATATCAGCTTGCGATTGGTTTGTTACGTCTGCTTCTTTTTATGTGAAAAGTTTAATTTCCGGAGTATTCTAATTTCTTTAACATCTACAGTTGAGAAATTTATAACCTAAAAAAGTTGTCTATAAGCGACATTATAGACCGGATATATATCAAACATATTCAAATAATATGTCTAAAGTTCAAAAGAACTAATAAAGGTCCGCGGAATTCTCAACTCTGTTTTAACTTAATAGGCCTATCATTTATTTTAAAATATGGGCTGGGGTCAGAAGCCTGTACGTTTTTCATTAAAAATACAAAGAACCACTAAATAATCGACCTCGTTTTCAGTGATGTTTAACATGTGACTAGAATGGCGTACATGCATAGTAAAATTTGCACGCGTTATTCATAAGACTTCTTATAAATAATGTACGATTTCATATTCCTAATATTGTCAACCTTTTAACATTTATTTGAGGGCAGCATCTAGGCAGATTTGACTGACACGCAAACGATGCCGTCTCCTATCTTCAGGCCACTAACTCTAACTGTTGCATTAAAAATACTGATCATTGAGTCCACTATTGTTCACAAAATCACAAGATTTGATCCATCCGATGATCGTAACCACAGCTTACAGATTTTAATAACTAATGTTAGCATTGGGCAAACTTAAACCCTTATCAAAAAGAAAGCCGGATTTTAATGCTTTCATCTGCTCGCGCCATGATATTTACGTTATACATAGCAATAACCAGGTGAACGCGGAGATTCGATTCAAACAACCACAAATGAACAGATCATGCAACCAATATGACTCTTATTAAAGCGTACAGGAGACATTGGCGTCTGCTATTTATGCAAACAATTAGTTGACAGAGATGGAAATTAGCAAACTGAGAGCACATGTCCTTACCAAGCCTACTTTTGATAACTTGAACTGAAAATACAATACTTGTGACACATTTTTATGAAAATAGAGTGTAGGCAATTAGAATCTGCCTTGGGAATTGGATGTTTAAGTCGAGTAACATTGAATAGTACACCAGATAGGATAAAGGAGAGAGGAAACATTAAAATAGGTCAAGACTTTTAACGGCGCATAAGTTATAACTGTCCTTTAAAAATGGTCAGAAAAACGAGCACCTACGCGAAAAAACAGAACTGTCCGAGATCCTCCAGTTTTTCGGGCTCCGTTAAGTTAGTTTCTAAAACTGGCTTTCTCAAGTCTCATCGGTGTGTTGCTCATGCCGGATAGAAAGCTGCGACTGGGAAATTTCGAGAGCTTTATTGCCCGTTTACAGTCGTTTACCATGACGATTTGTAGTGGCTGACCTCTAACTGCAGTTAGTCCAGAAGTTTCGGCTTTTGGACGATAACGGCACAATCTGAACTTATTTTTGCTGCTGAATGAGCAGTGACTCTTTATGATATCCGCGTTCTCAAGCAGATCCACTGTGTCGGATTTTCCTCCAGCAAAATCTTCTCTCATGTTGCTATATCTGGACCGATAAGCGAAAGAACGCAAAATAAAAGGTTTTGAGTATAACTAACTGAGACCGAGTGGTGGTCAAAACACCGCCGCATTTTGCACGAAGACATCCCGAGTTATCTATGAGGAACAGTTATTTTAGTCTAAATAATTTTTCTTAACCCAGCGCGTATTCACAATTCTATTTTTTAAACTCGACAACACCATTCCATTATAAATAGGAAAATGAAGTAGAATTAACATATGACTAAGAGCTGTGGGTCAAAATGCAATGGTTTCTGATCGCTAGATCCATGTTACTCTTTTTCTGTTGATGAAGAGGACGGTAAATCAAACTCGTCAGACCCGTTGTTGCCAATCAAAGCGCGTGGCAATAAAACATTTTGCGATCAACAGTTTTACGTCGAATCATAGATATCTTCAAATAACTGCATTTAACATACATGCGTCATAATGGCACTGTTATAAGCAAAAGCTCGTGCTGACTTCAAAGTGCTTGACCACAGGTGTGAAGGAAGAACACAGTCTCTGCCAGTTCTGTGTTTCCGAATGTCCGATAATATTATTGCCAATTTACGTCAAAAGTTGCATCTTTTCTCCCGGCACAAAAAGTAAAGTCTCATATTTCAATAGAAGCGTTTACTGCATGATTAATCTAAATTCAAAAGCATTTGCGTGACTTATTAAGGTTGACAATGCATTTGGAAGAACAGTTGGTACTTACGATATATGGGTATAGTACGATAGCAACCGGAGGACAGTTACATTCTGACTTTTCGTTTCGAGTATTGCAATAACCACATGTTCTTCCAATAGGAAGTAAATGACTTAATGATGTGATTATTTTACGCATTTTAAGACTCCTAAGTTTGTATATCTCTCTTGATGTATTGAATTAACTGTGAATATGCATTTTTTAAAACACAATGCGTACTTTCCTTCTTTAACATACTAGCCACTCGTTATTAAACGTTTGCAAAAGAGTAGTCCAAGACGCGTGGATGAGTTTTTACGCAGGCCACCTGGGTAACAATATCAAGTTTAAAAGATAAAATTGTTCGGCTTAAGAAAAAAACAAGATATATTTAATTCCACTACCAGGTAAGCTGGATGGCACAATGAGCTTGAGATGATAGCATTTGCTTACATTTTTCACCGGCATCGCAAACATAATTCGTTTTGACGCACGATCACTTTCATACCGCCATATTTTCCCCTCTTGGGCGTTAAGCTAAATCTTTGCCGGGATCATATGAAATATGTATTTGGCGGTTGTAAGGAACAGTGTATTTTCTCAATTGTTAGCTCACACCGAGATTAATTTGATCATCTTCTTTAGGGATTCGAGGCATACAAACTTCCTGCTTTGGAGATGGAGCAAATAATCAAAGAAGGCACGATTTTGATGGAAGTTGCGCTCCTTGAGGAAGACTTGGCACAGCTTGCCGAGAGGCAGAAACTTTTGAAAGGTAAATGCAATTTCAGTTCTCGTAGGCAGGGGTAACCGTGCAATTTAGAAAAAATATATGAGATTTTCGTCGACTTCCTCCAGAAAGATAACATAGAGTCTTCAACAGAGCACCCTCTTCCCACAAACTGTTCAGGACACGTGGAGGCTTGACTTTTTGCAACTTGATAGTTGAGATCAAATTGGTAGTCCAAAGCTGGATTGAAGATGACAATTTGCATGTGCTTCCGGCGTTTTAAAATACCCATGATATTGGCACCCATTGTTTACTGTCTTGAATTTCCGTAACAAAGTCAATAATCTCTTGTACGCTATCGTCCACGTTCTGATGCACCACTACCTTGTCAATATAGGGACGGTAGACGTATTCCATTATTTCGCTTTCTCGATTTAATTTGGCCAGAACACTGTTCTGCAAGGGATCGAAACACGAGATGTTAGACAGAATCACTACGGTTCTATTCAATGTTAAGAAAAATGACAAAATTTCCCATTTTCAAGGGTCTTACCAGTGTATCATGCGTAGAATCTCGAATTAGCAGCTTAAGGCATGGCGGAGCAATGAAAATCACAAATGGTGCGAATTCCGC